GACTGACAGACAGACAGACAGACTGACCGATTGACTTACTGACAGAAAGACAGACAAAGACAGATAGACAGACGAACTGACAGACAGGGTGACTGGCTGACGGACAGACAGAAGGACTAACTGACTGACTGATAGATTGACTGACAGAGTGACTGGCTGACAGACTGACTGACTGGCTAGCTGACAGAAAGACGGACAAAGACAGACAGAAAGACAAACTGACAGACAGAGAAACTGGCAAACAGACAGACAGACTAACTTACTGACTGACTGATAGACAGATTGACTGGGAAAGTGACCGGTTGACTGATGGACTGATTAACTGGCTGACAAACTGATCAGTTGATTTACTAATTGATTGATTGAACCAATCACGAGTACAAGTGTGCTTTTGTTAGCTGTATCGAATTGTTTTTGAAAGCTTCATAAAACCTCTTTTAAATATTTACCATGATAAATGATAGAAGAAATTTAACACAAAAGTCAGTCAAAGCTAATGAAGCCAAACACAATATGTGATTCACATTTACTCAAATATGCTATCTGATTTACTATCAGTACCAGGCCCTCCATCAAACGTAAAAATATTTCCATTCGGAGAATACCTACTGGTCACGTGGACACCGCCCAAGGAGCCCAACGGGATCATTACGAACTACCAAGTGGGGTCCGCTGAGTACAGTGCGTTATCGCCCGAGAGTGTGGTAGTTACCATGGAGACAGTACAACCCAATGTATATAAGAAATTGTTGGGTAATGAGAGATTTGAAACAAGCTATGTTGTGGAATTGCGAGCGAGAACGTCGAAGGGCTGGGGTGCCAGCTTAAGAACAACTACAACAACTATGAAAAAGTCAGGTGAGACGTTTTAAGCGATAGACTACCTACGTCATGACATACCGCAAGATTTAAAAGCGTAACCTTTTTTTAATTCCAATTGCGCAACTTTTCCGTAGATCGAGAGAAAAAAGTCCCGTTTGTGCGGTTTGATTATTCGTTTCAAATAGACTGGTCCCCAACTGAATCAAAACTCCGTGATGTATTGTTTGGAATCCACATTTCTATGGCGTTTTGGCGTCTTCAGCATAACCCTTTCTCGAACGTGTGAAACACTTTAACATGTACAAACAGTCTTAATAGACTATGAGGAGGATATTTCTTGTTCCCGACTGTTTTTCTTCTGGGATCTGTGGAAAATATGGCAAGGTTTTAGCCAACTCGACAGCTAAGTATTCTGCGAAGAATTTCGCAGGATAATTCATAGATGTCCGTTGTCGGATGTTACTAAAACTGGTAACGGGGAACCGGGAACCGGGAACGGGAGTCTGGGAACGAATGTACAGCGGTAACCCGCCTAAGAATTCGACATGGCAGACAAAGGAAAAGAAAAGGGAACAATTTGGGGGAATGTAAGGAAGTGTTACGGTTCCCCGTTACCAGTTTTAGTAACATCCGTCCGTTGTCTTTTCACAGCTCCTGCTAAGCCAGAAAAACCCACTGTAGTCGTAACAGGAGAACCGGCCGCGTTTAATGTGACGTACAACTTTGGTGTCGGAGGTGGATGGACACACGAGTTCAAAGTTTTATACAAAAAGAAAGGTGAGAATAATAATAATAATAATAGCAATGATAATAATGATAACGATAACGATAACGATAACAGTAATGACTCAACAATCCTTTTAACCAAAGAGACATTTCCTATTGGATCCTGCTAAATACGAAATAATTCACTGACCATGAAGAACGATAAGAACACAAGACCTAGTTACCTTAGTTATCAACCGTTTTAACACTGTTCAATAATGACGTAAAATCCCCTTCAGAGAGATTCTTTTCTTTTCATTTTACAGGAGAAGGAGAACAATTTCAGGAAACTGCATGGGTGGATCATTTCCGCATGCAGTCTACTGTAATCAAAGATCTGGACTTTGCCGCGCTGTATGAAATCAAGACTATTGGTAAAAACACTGTCGGAACAAGTCCAGAAAGTAACATCACTGAAGCTTTTGTAGCGGGCGACCCTGTTGTCGGTAAGCTGTTTAAAAAAGTGGTCGTAGCCAGTTTGAACCGGAGCATCCTAGCGTTTTGGCAGCATTAAATGAATGTTTCAGGGATTTTCATGCTAGCTGCTGGCCGGTAATGCCACAAATGTTTAATCGAAAATAAATTTGAAATGTAGATCACGCGCGAGTAAGTGCGAGGTGAGTCACGTGCACGCGCGTGTGAAAGAATCCCGTTCGAGGAATGGCAATCCAAGTTATTATATTTGACAGGCATGCAAGAGACAGTAATTCAAAGTGTTCGCATCCATGATCGCCGGAATAAAAAAATACGCAGACCTACACACTCGAGTATTGCTTCAGTGGCTACACCTAAATCTTTCGAAATCTTCCTTGGAATAGTTCATAATACCGCCTGAATCAAACCTAATTTTTGTTATGACTGAATTTCAGGTAAAGCTGTTGGCTCGCCGATGTATGAGTCTGATTGGTTCATCACACTCATCATTGTCTCAGGCTGCGTTTTTCTTCTTTTGGTGATTGTTGTTCTGGTTAAACGTCACAGACGAAGGCGTAGCTTGAATTTTAGAGGTAAGGAGTTGCCCTGATCTAATCGTTACTTCTCTTTACATTGTCCTGGACGGAGTCATATTGTATTGTTTTGCATTTTCTGACGAGACACTTTACCGTCCCAGTGTCTCCCTACCCAAAGATATAAATGGGTACGGTCAAATTTAATGCTGGAGGAGAGGGGGAGGGGGGAGGGGAGGTGATCTTGCGATAGACTTGCTCCCATCCAGGGTGGACTAGAAATACCGTTAGTTATTTCATGTCGCGGAAACGTAGTTGGTATCTGATTGAATTAGGTATGTTATGACAATCCAACGGCTGATTAACTCGGATAATAACATTCTGCGCCAGCTTCGAGGTCAGTTTAAAAGAAGTTCTTCACACATGCGTTATTCTTACCACAGCTATAACGCTAAAGCAAAGTGCAAGCAGGATGACAACACTCTAACATTATAATTACATTGTAATAAGACCCGATCTGCTCTAAAAGTAGATAATAATTTGGGGTTTGGGGGAATATGGCAACATGATCATTTATTTCAAGGGGACAAGGGATATTTTGGGATTAATTTGAGGGAGCAAGGGATATTAAACGATTAAAGGAAAGTTTGACGAAACATTTATGGGAACAATGGAACTGGAGAAATTTAGTAAACCCTTTGGCATGGCTGGCAAAAAAAACTTCAATCATACGCAGAGATACGTAAGACTACGAGTACGGTGGAGATTCAATAGCAAGTTTTCAGTGAATAAGCTTACACAGAAAGCATATCGCCCTCCATTATCTTAACAGTGAAGATGTCTTTATTGTTTGTGAGAAGTAGGATTGATAATTTAAAATTGTCTGCCATTGATAAGTTTGTCATTTTGTTATTTTACAATTTTGACTTACCTTTTGCGAACTTTCTTTGATTTTCGCCACAACAACTTTTTGGCAAAATCTCGGATTATAAAGACGCGGCTACCACATTTTTCCCGCCAAAATGACACCCGCGCACTCTTTCCTAGATCTCATGAGGAACAACGTTTAAGTACCACGAAGAGATATCGTTCTATATTACAGAAATTATCATACATACAAGGGGCTGTGATTAACGTATTATTTTGTGATATTAACAGTTGCCGAACACGAGAAGGAAATTGAAAATGAAAAAGAAAAAGAAAAAGAGATCCCTGCCCGTGTCGACTTCAAACCGCGCGAGGACTGGAGAGGAAGACTGGAGGAGGCCGACCGCGAGAGTCACGACAGCCTGGATGAGTATGGTAGAACGGACGCACATTTCACAGAAGACGGTTCCTTTGTAGGTGAAATTAGCATTGATAAGCAGGAACCTTCACAAGAAGAGGTTAAACATCCAGTTGTGTAGCAGAGGTCCATAGGAAAGTGTTCCCTTGATCTCAGTTCTGTGAAGGCTGACGACAGTGTGGCGTTCAAAAAAAATACATTTTTCGTTCTTTGATAATTGCTAGCTTTTCGCTACGAACTTTTTGCTCAGAATTTTATTTCATTGTATCTTTTTTGCGCTGTCTTTATTTGCCTATCCTCTCTCGCAATACTTCTCTAAAACGACTCAATCAACAGCCAAGGTAGCTTGTCACGCAAAACCTTAGAGATGCGTTGCGTGACGATAGAAATTAGCTTAGAAGTGCTGTCTGCAGCTGAGTAATTTAATGAGGACTCTTTCTATATTGTTGTAGTCGTACAAGTTGAGGCAAAATATGAAGACTACACGTATCCCATAAAAGCGTTGTAAAACTGTTTTTCAATCTCGTTGTTTTAAGATTAAAATGCAAATCGTTTTAAGAATTTTCTCAGCCAGGGAAACAAGTGCGTTTACGAAAACCTTTATCGATGTGCTCGAAGGGGTTCCCATTCTTATCAACCAATCAGAAATAGGACGAGCACACTCGAGGGATATCCGAACGTTGACACGTCAGTTTGCCGCCATTGAGTATACGTTTTGTTGCTAGGCAACTACGCCGAAAACTGCGGGCTCAGTTAATTCTCGGAGACGGTTCTGACTTGTAAAGGAACTTGTTTCCTAGACTGTATTTAGTCTGTAGTGCATTACTTAGGAGCGAGATAATCTTTCCTGTTTGATCACCATGCAAATATACACTAACATTAGCGTCCTGTTCACACTAAATCTTAAACATATTTAAAATGTTTTATGTTGAAATATCTTGCAATGAAGATCGCCGCACTGCTGCTACGTAACAAAGTTTTGGATTAATTTTGAGCAACTTTTCGACATTTTTTTGACAACTTTCTGATGGCCTTAGTTTCAAATGGCCAATCAAAATGCAGAAACTCCGAGACGACATATCAAACGGAGAGTGTCGCCTCACATTTCAATAAGAGAGGATAAAGGGTAGGATAATACAGGACTAATGTCCAAGGTAGCCCTCTCCAGGTATTTAATTAGATCATTCCCGGTTTCAGAAATTCGAAGAAGGCCTGGAAGTAGCCAAACCAGAGACACGGATTTTGCTTACGTGGACAGCCCGTGACTTTTCACGCATTTTCATCCCCCAAGAAAACATCTACGCATGCAACGCACGTGGTAACAACCGCAGGAGAACTGGATACCAGATCTAAAAATAACTTGAGAACAAGGCCTATGTGGATGGTTACCTCTGTTACCCTTCATTCTCTCTTGATTTCGACTATCTGTTCTTAAATGCGTACCTCTGTAGTAGATTTAGGTTATCTTTGCTTTGAAGTTGTAAATTTGTCGCCTTTCAATTGCAATGCTTTACCAAGATAGTCGCTTAGCGCAAAGAAATGTTACTTGTATACTGTCTGTTAGACAATGTATTAGGCTTTTGCTCAGGGTTGGACTGAAGCTCTTTACCCCCGGAGGGTCTCCCATATAAAAGGGCGAGAGTGCTAGTCGTACCTTCGAGCCGAAAACAATATGACAGGAGACAATGTTCTTTTAGAATTGGTACCTCTTAGAGGTGAAAAAAAAAAAAAANAAGAAAAACGACGTTTCAACGTGTTTCACAGGTAAGATGTGAACATGAAGCAGAGGAGGTTTTGGAACGTAGATCGATCGATCATCCAGTATAAATACAAATATCAAATTGATAGCGAAACACATATTATCTCCCAGTCGTTCTATCATCCCCGCCGCTCTTTACAAAAAAAAAAAAAAAAAAAATTAGGCCACGCCCTATAAACAGGATCTTGGCACCTCTTAGGGGTTCTTTTCCAAATTTCCAACGAGCAGCTCGGTCCTTTTTATATAGGAGTTCCCTTGGGTCTCAACCCTATGTTCCGAATAGCTAAATTACTCGCTGTTTTATTCGCTGAATTCGCTTTAATGAGAACCCCAAGAATAATTGTTCTTGCCGGCAATGAGTGGCTTTTTCGCATCACTTATTAAGCTTAGCAGTGCATCTTACGTAATAAAGGTTACCGTTTGCTGAATTATCATCTTTTCTGTGACTTGCTAAACAGTGAGGAAACTTGATCACCCACCAATTGTTACAACTAAATCCCCAGAGAACTAATCAGAAACGAGGATTACAGAAAAGCGCTTAGTAAAACCTATAATTCTTTCGGAAAGTATTCCCTTCATCCGTCGTTGCAATGTTTAGCCTCGTTATCTCGAAACTCCCCGCCATAGTGGACTCAAATCATTCATCTTTGGAAATGCTTTTCAGCCATCAACTATGGGCTAACTCGTACTTTTTTTTCATTTCCCTCGAGAGTTCGAGAGTACGGGCTTGGCTTTATAATGTAAGTCAGGTGGACGAAACATCCTTCGCTAGCAGCTTTATTTCTACAAATATCAAACTAACCATTGTAAAATAAAATGTACATCCAACACTACCAGTAGAAGAGTAAAACTACCTTTGAGTAACCGCAGCCTTTGGAGAAATGGGTCGGGTGAAGACTGAGTCTAGACTAGCCTCCCGCGCAGAAGTTCTTTGGACTCGTCACGCAACCTCGTGACGAGTCCAAAGAATGTCTGCGTGTGAGGCTAGTCTCGACAAATTCGACCGGGAATTACATTCGGTGCGCGGTGGGGGTGGGGAATTCAGGGGAACAGAGGGGGTCCTGGAGGGGGTAAACATGCATACAGGTTGCTGCTGCTTTGGGTGGACGTACGAACCCAGTACCTTTCAAGGACCGCTACGCTATATCTACAAGTGTTAAAAAAAATTACGTGATACATTATGTGTTTAGCTACATTAGTGCATCTATTAGGAAGCTTCTCGCAGCTAGTTGTGAAGTATATTTTGCGTTACTATTACGTGCAAGCCTAGTCGCATTGATAGCTATGAAAACGGAACTAGAACCGAGTTCCCAAGTACCACAAATGTTCGTGGGAGACCTGGGTATAAACCAAAACGTAAATATGTTTAAGATGATCTGAAGAGCTTCCATCGTTTTCGATTTAATTTCGCTGTACATGTCTAAAAAGCAGTTTTAAAGAATTTTTTTTTCTTTTTACTAGTATATACCAATGTCCAAAAAGTTACAGAATCGCCAGTACATTACCTCTTCTAAAGGCCACTGATGAAAAAACGTATTGAAAATTAAATGTAAACACAACTTCGCCAGTGAGCGACTACAAAATACCTCACAAATTTGTGATTTACGAAACGACAGCAGGAGACATTTCACCAGAACTAATTCTACCTTTTCATTACTATGAGAAGAAACCGTTACTTATGTATAACGTTACCTAAGTATGAACAAATTATAACAAAACTGCTGTAAGAAATGTTTGTTTCCATCGGGAAACGCCCTTTTTTGCGTTTAAAGTTCACTTACTACGGGCCTGAGAATGAGGGAATTCAAATTCATCCTAAAAAGGACCAACTCTTGGGTATTTCCCTTCTGTTTTTAAGTTACGTCGAACCTAACAGACGATTAACTCTTAATTTTTTAGATTCCAGAACTTTTCATCTTTTAGGAATTTGTTGAGTGAAACGCCGTTCTCCAAAAGGACCTGGCACGAGCGAAAAAATTACGAGTAGTACTGGGGAGAGACGCTAATTCATTGCTTGAGCAAAATGAAAAAGTAAAGCTTGTTGATTATGATCCACTTAAGATTTACCACTCAACTCAGATCATGCCGATTTGATGGAAATTCGACAGATATGACATGGGGAGACAAAATCATTTTGGACTGATGGATACGGACCTAGTTGTAAAGCTTGCTCTTTTTAGCGAGCCATTTCAAGGGCGAGACTAGAATGATTCGCCGAGGTTTCAGCCAGGGACCCAATTTATGATCTTAACTCGGACTAACTAAATCAAAAGCTACCGAAATCTTGCACTAAACAGTACGAAGAGTAAAATTAAAAATAAATAATACACGTATGTGTGATTCATAAATTGACTTGTTCGAGTCAAAGCTCAATTTCCGACAACTCTCGATGAACACGACCGCGGAGAGAACCGTGGTGAGACAACGGTGAAATTGCGGTACACGCGCGGTTCTAGTGCAGTTCGAATGCGTTGAACGCAACAACCATAGTTTAACCTGGGCTTATACAGCTTCGCTACAACTAGTTCTTATATACAATCTTAATTAAGAATTCACGACGAAAACCCTATTTTCCTTGCAATAAATCGCAAGCAGATACCGTGGCACTAAAAAAAGCAACGCCGTCGTGTAACGCAGTTTACGCCGCCATCTGCCATATTTTTTCCGTGTCTCTTCCTGATCAGCTTTTCCGGTGAAGTTTGATAAGAACAACTCTAATTTATCACTCTACTTAACAACAACTTTTTAGTGGGAGACTTTTTTTTTCTAGCTTTACCTCAGGATTATAACCGTTGACTGTCTTGGCTCATTCTCCCTTAACGCAGGCTTTTGTCTAACACAACAATTACGATTAGCTAACTGGCTGGTGTTTCTTCTCTTTAGGCAAGCAGTTTGCTTGGTACACTGATCAGCACTCTTAAGCTAACAAGCTGCACTCAACTTCTTACAGCCGTCAAACTACAGTGGTACATTAAAACATGGCCCTTAAACGAAGGTAGCAAATGCGGACTGGTCCTTTTCGTCGGGGGCTGTCTTCTTCTCGTCGCCATATTCCTCTATAAAGGAGCCGTCCTCGTTGAACTGTGGCCCCTCCCCATAATCGTCGAGGCTGTCCCGGTCGCTCTCCCCACTCTTTTTGTCCAATGAACCCTGACTGGGGTAGGGTGGGGGGTTCTCTTGAGCACTAGAGAAACAACACAGCCGACATCAGCAAGGCGTTTGTAGCCACAACCGTCACTTAACACGCTAAAGATTACTCTCTTTAGCGTTGGCTCTCGCTACCGACATTAACATAAATGCAAGCGCAATCATAAATTCTTGAAGAACGAATACATTCCATCTTCTTACCTCGCCCTCACACTGGACATATGCACAAACATGAAGAACAATAAAATTATTAGTTCTCCCTTCCTAGTGTTGACCCGTATGTGGCTGCTATCCTTGTTAATCTTAAACTCATGTTGCTAATGAAAACAAACTTTTTGCCCCAAAATCTCAGAGGTACACGGTGTTTGACCCAAGTAGACATCTGACGTAATGCGGACATCTTTAAGGGAGCAGTAGGTGTCACAGTGGTCAGAGCACTCGACTTCCACTAATGTAACCCGGGTTCGATTCTGGCCTGGTGCCATATGTGGGTTGAGTTTGTTGTTTGTTCTCGCCTTGCTCTGAGGGTTTTCTCCGTGTACTCCAGTTTTCCTCCCTCCACAAAAACCAACATCACCAAATTACAATTCGACCAGGATAGAAGACCCGCATGAAAACCAGCTAAGGCTGATGTGCAATTCATGTTCTGATTTACTTTGTGTTTCTGTGGTATTAAACGAGTTTCACCGTATCAAAATCATAAGGAAAAATTAGATATTGATAACAACTGCTTACCCGTTGTTGAAAGGACCTTCTTCTTCATCATATGGTTCGTGATCTATGAGCGCCGCTCTCTTCCTCTCACGTTTACCAACTATACAGAAACAATACATGGTTAAATTACGAAATTCTTACTTTAAGTCAGAAGATGAAAGGTGTTTGTGTGACCATATGAAAGCTATTGAGTAGTACTTTCATGTGGTACTGTTTATTGTGCTGTACAAGATGGTTCTGGTCTATGGATGAAACCCTAGTGTGTGACCATTCATTATGTCGGACGTGGATGTAACGTATGGAACCCTAGTGATTGGTCTTTTTAATGACACCTTTTAAGTAGTAATAGTGGTGTTCATTATAAGGTCTTTTCCCCTACATATTTCAGACAAAAAAAATTAATTCAAGATCCGAGCCACTTAAAGGCCTGTAGCAAGCAAGTTTCTCTTTTCTTTAGATGCCATCACTTTTCTGCAGTCAATACAGGGTTCGCACCTAACAAGTCACTTGTTTCCCCACCTGCGAGTGACAGTATTGCCAGTCTGATATAATATTTATTGACTTACCAGGATATTTTGCACCACGGTGTCTGGTGTAGAGAACAAATATGATCAGCACCAGGAGCAGGAGGGCGACCAGAACCAGCAGCGCAATAAACCAAGCACTCTTGTGTATGGGAGTAGTAGCACGCTGGCCAGCTGTAATGACAAAGAGAAAACATCAAGTCTGATGTCATATTCAGATACAAGAGAAATATTGTGTTAATCAGTTGATGATGACAAAGCTTCATTAGCCAGTTCCAGGCTCTTGGTCAGTAGGAATGATTAAAGAAGCAAGCGTGCGATGAGTTGGGTCTGAGACTCTGCTGGTTGCCTCTCGCTTTTTTGATCGTCTCCACTGGCCGAGAGCCGGGAACAGGCTAAAGCTTCAATAGCCTAAATCTGTATACAGCGTGACTGATGAAATCACAAGTTTGTTAGCAAACATGAACCAGATTGTTTGTAGTTTCCGCTACAAAAATTGGCACTTGGAACCCCAGGAGGATGAGCTGCTGTTTAAAACTCTATGTTAGTTAGGTAACCAGACCCTGACCTGAGAATTCAACATCCCATTATAGAGTAGACCACAATTTTTTAGAGAAGAAAAAATAATAAAATATAGATTGTTCCAAAAGCCACACCCAAGTCACACCACACCCAAAACATTTCAGGGATCAAAACAGTCCACTCTGGTTGCCTGGAACAAGTGGTTTTTCCTGTTTTCACCCCATGGGAAAGGGAAGGTGAGGCACTGGCTGGATAACTTATGGTATCAAACCAAAAAGTTTAACTACTTCTAGCTGGTTTGGCATTTTGCAAAATACTACATCAGCCGAGCACAAGAGGCAGGTGTATTTCTGGGGGTGGAGGGGGAGGGGTGAACGTACCTGCAACTCCAGGAAGAGGTCTTGCTTCAGTGACATCACTCGGTGGACTCTCTCCTAATGGATTTCTGCCGACAGTCTTGAACTGGTAAAGCTCGTTGTCAAGGTTACCAATGTCTGTGTTCTGGACGTCAAAGTGGTTCACCCAGGATGTGTTTACAAACTCCTCGTCAGGCACTGCAAAATATAACATATTATTGTTATCTAATCACTCTGCAGTGAAACTAAAACAAAATAACTTTTTACTTAGTTCAAGTAAGAAAACACCAGTCATACAGGAGGGGACATCTTGTTTAATGAAGTGATAAAAAAACGGAGATGCTGTCGGGTGACAACTCCTAACGCACCAACTCCTTAAAAATCCACTTCTTAACATAATTACGTAACCTGCATTCCAACAAATCTACATACCGTCGCACAACTATCTTAAAACAAAATGTGAAAAATTATATTTATACAGTCAAGTCTCAATCTCTACTCTGGGAACTGGAACCAAATCTAGATAATTTGTCTCCTGTTGAGCTCTCTAGCAAAGCTGCAAAGGTTTCCTTTTCAAAGATCACAAGGGAAAGGACAGTGGAGAAGGAGTGCTGACAGAAGGGGTGGGCCAGCTGGGCCAAAGCCAAGGTGCGGCACAAGACAGGGCTGGTTGGAGAGAGAGAGTTGCAAACTTATGTGCCTCCTGGCACACAGAAACAGAGAGCTAAATAACTAATTGATCAAAGAAGCTCACATTTCTTTCTGTACATGACTCTGAATTCATGAGTGTATCCTCCACCGATGTCAAAGTTGTAAATCACGTTGACAGCGTCAACTGCCGTCCCTGTAACAGTCGGTTTCTTTGGCTTAGCAGGAGCTGTAAAACAACAACAATAACAACAACAATGAAATTAATGCCAGACACTATTCCCAGAAAAAAAAATTGATCACAAACGAAAAGGGACATTACAAAAAATTAAAATCATTGCTTCATGACTGGAAGAAATGACAAGAAATACTTTCAATTCCAGGCAAAACTTTTTTTTCTATTTCTCAGACTGCAAAGACCACAGCACCTACACAACATGTGCCATAAATCAAAGAGAAAAAACAAAGTTCCACAATTTTCCAAAGCTTGGTTTTACGACACTCAATTGAAAACTGCTCTATGATCACATGCTGAAAAGGACCTAATTTGCAGGCAATTGAGTTCACTTTTACATATTAAGACTTACCAGACATTTTAACTGTACTTGTCGTCTTCCTCACGGACTCGCCCCACCCTGGTGCAGTTTTTGCCCGCATTTCAATGACATAGTCTGACAACTCCTTTTGCCCAGACAGCAGGTGCCTACGCTCACCAGCACCCACCTCTGTCATATCCACATTGATATCCTGGAACTGGGAGCCTGTGTACTCGGCAGACCCAACTTGGTACCCCGTAATGACACCATTGGGTTCCTCTGGAGGTTTCCATGTTACAAGGATATACTCCGCAAATGGATACACCTCTATGTCTGATGGAGGTCCAGGAACTAAACAAAAAACAATGACACTGCTTAACAATATGAAGATCTTGACAGTGCTGCATTGCTTACCTCCAGACTTGGTGACATAAAAAGAATCGGGCATTGTTCACGCACCCAAGAGACCTTTTTTTAAGGAAATAATGTTCTGTACTCTGGAGAAAGGCTTATGCTCTGGCAGTTGTAGAGAGGTTAAAATTAGAGTGAATGTATGGACTGTCTGCCAGGCGAAAAAAAGAAAGCAGCCATTGTAGAAAGGTGGCTGTTATTGGAAGTTTGACTGTATTCAGTCACTTACTGTTGGCTTTCGGGAATCTAAGACATCTCAAACTATTTTTGTTTCCCTTTGCAGTTTGAGATGGCAGGATTTAGCCTATTCTTTACAGGAAGATTAGAAAGCTGACTTTCCAACTAAGCTTCCACATACATGTGCATGCATTGCAAATTTAGCGCACAAGTTACACTGTTACCGTTTTTTGGAAATCTAGCATTGAAAACAACGAGTATGACATGTGACTAAATATCATTTAGGCCAATTTAGACTTGAACCAATGTAACCAGTGATTTTTCCCTCGACAGTAGGTGACCTGTGGGGTGGCCCTGAGGGGATTTGGAGTTCATTAGGTGATCTTTGCAAATAATTCATTCGCACAGCTCATGCTAGCATTCATTACCTAATAAAATTCCCCAGTACTATTGGCCTGCAATGTGTGCAAAAAATTACTGCATACTAATTTTATGTTATAATGTGCAGCTCCAGAAAATATCCAATCCATACTCTCCCCACAGAAGGGATTGAAATTTCCAGGGTGGGTGGGGGTGGGGGTTCTCTAAGACCAAAACAGTTAAAGAAATGTATCAAGTTTAATTGGAATTTCCTGATGGTTGGGAAGGGGGGGGTCTTGGAAAAAAAATCCCTTCTGTGGGGGAGGTATGGATATTTTCTACTACACAACGTCAGGTAACAAATTCAGAGAAAATCTTCCTTAGCATACCATCCTCAATTGTATCAAATGTAACCTCGTCACTTGATGGGCCTTCACCACCACTGTTAAATGCCTTGATTGCCAGAGTGTACCCTGTATAAGGTGTGAGTCCATAAACTGTAGCCTCTTTAGTAGTACCTCCAGTTACATTAGTAGACTTTGCGTAGCTTGGAATGGCACGTCTACGTCTCCTTGCTGTCTGATCGGTGAGTTTGCTCACACCCCAGTAATAAATCTAGATTGTAAACAAAATTAGGGTTATATACATATGCATGTATACCAAGCAAATCTCCTCAGGGGCTAGCCATTATTTGGTGTCAAGCCCAATACTGTGAACAGTTGATGTTCTTAACACCCTCTCTCGTGAGTACGTGTCCTAACCAGTTCAACCTCCTATAGTGTATGTTGTATCTTGCAGCTTATGTTGTCTGTCTCTGCCATTTCAAACACTCTTTTGTTTGTCATTCTTTGCTGCCATCTAATCCTCAGAATAATGGCTAAGTACCACACACTACATTGGCTTCAAGACACTCACCCTGTATCCATCAACACTTCCTCGGGAAGGTACAGGTAAAGGATTCCAAGAAAGTTCAACACTGCGTGCCGTAATTACTCCTATCACTGGATTTCCTGGCTTCCCATCTGGTTTGTCTTGTCCAGAATATGATTGTTCAGTAGGACTCCAGGGTCCTAGTCCTTCACTGTTCACGGCACGAATCCTAAACTCCCAAAGCTTATAATAACCAGCATCGGGTACAGTGAGTATACCAACAGTACTGTTAAACCTTTCTACTATCCAACGATCAGGTGGTTCACCTCCGACTCTTCTGTAATTAAGCTCATACTTGAGTTGCGGTGCATTCCAATCTACCCTTGGCATAGGCTGACAAATCAAAACAGCAAAGAAATCAACTCTGTTTCATGCAGCAAACTGGTCCAAGATGGAAAGCAGAAGCCTGATCAATTAGTTCTCTACATGGTCAGAATTTAGCAATACTGGTCACTAAGATGCACTGCATCTTCACAAATAATAAAATATTATTACTTTTGGTTAATTGATTTTTCAAAACATCACACAAACAAAATCATTTTCCCTTTATTTTTTTGGCAGACAAATAGACGTTCATGAAAGCAACCTGAAAAATGTAAATAAATACTTCACTTATCAAACCACATATTCTTTATAAAGCATCATAACTTATTGTCTTCCTGTATCATAACACCTTGGCATGTTGTTCAGGGGTTTTCTGCAGCAGGGCAACTGGTTCTCACATTCTGGGAAACTTTTTGAACTGAACTTCTATAAAAGAAAAACTTTCCCTAGATTATCAAACCAGATGGGCAAAATTATCCTTGCAGCTGGTCAATTTGCCCCGTGCCTGGTCCTTAATGGAACCCACGATTGTAACACCTTTAAAAATCAGGAGTCATACCAACTGAGCTTATCTACACCTGTACCATAGGGGTTTCATTAGGGGCCAGGGGCACCTGGCAAATTGACCGGCTGTGAGGACAATTTTGCCCGACTGGTTTGACCACCTGCACAAAAAATTTTCTTACAAAGAAGTTCAGTTCTGATAGTTTTGCCTGCCTGTGTAAACTAGTTCCTCTCCTGCTGAAGACGTTAATGAAACCCCTAACACAGATTAGTAGCTTACAGTATAATTTATATACAATTATTAGTAAACTTACAGTCCAGGCAATGTCAAGTTTTTCTGCCTCCTTTGGCACTCCTCGTAAGTTATCAGGGTATTTATCTGGTTCTGGTAACAAAGTAGGAACAATTTCACAATCAATTTCCCCTCACAATTATTTTAAGCCCTTTAAGCCCCTCTGTCAACATAAAACTTCTCCTTAACAGTCTCCGTATTTTTTTTTTTTTTACAAAGTTATCAGGAGAATTATTTAATCAATCAAAACAATTTCCCAATGCTGATCACTTGATAACTGGGCCTGGGGAAAGCCAAGTTCATGGAGTGGGTAATGTTTTTGCTGTTGTAATTGGTTTTTGGTGAGGCACACCACACAACAAAGCTGCGAGCAAAACAGTCACCTAAACTACAAGGGCTTGGTGGTGGGCTTCTTTAGTAAAAATTTTAGTTCTAAAGACTTAACAGTTTTCAGAGTGAAATAACATTTGTTGTCATGTGTGATAAAAATGCAAACCATTAATCCAGGAGACAACAGATCTGTGTAGAGTTCCATTACCAGTACAGATTTCTCTGGTCAAAAATTGTTATAATCATCACATGCTCTTGGGTAAGGAAAGACTCAATAGCAACAAGAGACTGACTTCTACTTGTTTTAGTGGGGCTCAACAATATTGAACTTGAAACAATGCTGGCCAGCAGTCTCCTCAGCTAATGTGGGGTGATCTAAGGGATTTTCCAGGGCTCAACAAATTAACAGCTCCCCTGTTTGGCTCTTTGCATACTGTCTCAAAGAAGCCCGGCATTGAATTAAAACTTACTTCCAAGAGAAGTTTTGCAAATCCCTGCCCCTGTTGCTTCACTTGGGCGACTAGGACCAAGTCTGTTTACAGCTCTTAGACGGAAGCGAAGAGTAGCCCAGCCAGTGAGATTTAATGTAACAGAAGTGGCATTAGGGTTTGTGACATTGTAGATCAATTTGAAGACATTAGGTTCATGATTTGATTCTTGTTCCACTAGGAAATGCAAGATGGGTGCATCATTGGAAGCACTGGTAACCCAAGTGAGAGTCGTCGTTCGATTCTGACAGGTGTCTGTTATTGCAAGTTTGGTTGGAGGGAAAGGAACGCCTGTGGAACATAATGAATAAGATTATCCAAAACTGAATGTGAATTTAAGAGTCTCATTTACCTACATGTACTTCAGTTCTAAGTAAAGATAAAGCAGTCTCAAACTCATTAATAATTCGTTAAGTTTAAGCAAATGAGATCACAACTGTGACATGGTATTTGGATATCTTATCATAATTGGCGTAGATTTTTAGTTTCATTTCTCTGTTTTCTCCTTAGTTTAAGTTTTCATTTAGAAGATATAACACCCAAGACCATGCTTGAACACATTTCCAGACACTTCAAAATTTGTCAAAATACAAAATAATCACGACAATGACGACGACGACGACGACAATGGCGACGATGATGATAAGCATAGGGACAAAGAAAACAATAAAGTACTTCAAGTATTATTTTCTTGATGTACCAAGCACCATCAATAATGGTTTCAGGGCTCTACACTACTGGTAGCCAACTAGCCACAGACTAGTAGAAATTTAGTTTTGGCTAGTAGGTTTTCGATTTCCACTAGCCACTTTGGCTAGTAAACAAAATGAAATTGGCTGAACTAGTTCCTGTCTTCTTCAAGGATGACAAACACAAAATTTACACTTTTCTCGGAAACAATGTCAGAATTCCATTGTGGACATATCATGGTACCGGGCATGTGCTGTTAAGCATGTATGTCTACTTTTCACCACGTGGTACGTAAACGGGGAACTGAACATGTTAATTTTGTTGAAAGAAATATTTGACAGACCAGACAGCACACATCAATGCTCTTTTTTGTTACGAAAGTTTTTTTATGCGCAAAATGGTGCGGAACTGTGAAGGGATAACATTTCATTTAGCATGACAATATATGGGTGATTTGTCGTTGTATGCATACTTACAAACTTACCACTACAGAAATAATTAGATGAGAAAGATTTATTTCCTTCGACATTTAAATCAGCTGTTTTTAGCAGTCAAATTTTGCCAATGACAGTTTACAGTATTGTTCAGATAGTTGTTTTGCCTTTGAAACATTTCTATGGTGCCTGTCTGTAAAGAAGTCTCGACAGCTTTTACAGTGATGTCTTGGGGGTCTCGATATTTTTCCAAGTAAGTCTCAGAGAAAAACAGAGTCCTGAAAGTCTTTAAATCGTGAATTTAAGTGTCACGAAATATGCGCACACCCGAACCGCGAAATAAACGTGTCGTGAAAATTTCATGTAATAAGGTAGCCAACCTCAACACTTGGCTAGTAAATAAATATTTTTGGCTAGTAACATCTAAGTAATCACTAGCCACTTGGCTAGTAAGTTGAAAAGTTAGTGTCGAGTCCTGGATTTCTTAAAACATAAGCAGGCGAATATTAATATTAAAAACCAACATTTCGGCGTCATCGTGACATCATTCTCAAGGCAAAGTGAATAAATAAGGCAAAGATTTGATTCATATACAGTGTCTACGAATTAGCAGAATTACAAAGGATCACAAGTTCTTCAAGTGAATACCTTTGCGCGAATCGAGTCCGCTTACACATTTACGAATGGTTTAAGTTTTCTTATAAAAAGCATCTCCTTAAGCACCATACTCTCAAAACTGGCATTACAACAACTGTACAGTTGCTATTTCATGAAGTATTAATGTTTTGAACTTGGGACTGAGAGGTCTGCAAGAGTTGAAAGATCACACTGTAAAATAAAAGATCTCAATCATGTGACACAAGAGAAATCAAACATACCTTGAATATTGATGATAGCAGAGGCACTATCCTCAGATCTTTTTGGTTCAGGTGTATATGCAATACATGTATAAACACCAGCATCCTCGACCTTAATGTTCGAAATTGTCAGAACATTTTTCGACACATCCCACTCAACAACATTTTGGATGTAGTCAATTCTGGCATCATCACGCTTCCAAAAGTATCTAATCTCCAATTCCTTGTCATACTCTGCCCTGCACATTAGGTCAACAGCATCACCTTCTTTCACCAACTTGTCCTCAGGCTTAACCACAATTCTTGTTCTCTCTATGCACATCAATCAAACAAGATCAAAGATTTTAAAGACAGGACTGTTACACTTTGACCAACAGCAATGCAAATCTCAGTAAACATTGCAGCATTTGTCTTGTCCTACAGTTTCTGTTGCTCTTCATCTAATGAGGTCAATCATTTTAGTGACATTAAAAATACTTTTGACAAACAGCAATACAAATTCTGGTAAACCTTGCAATGCCCATCTTGACCCAAGGTTTCACTAGGCAACGCTGTGCTCTAGATATGCATAGATGCCACAGGCAACTAATGTTTGCCCTTGGGTGACTGGGAAAACTTACTTTTTTTATATAAGAATAACCTACTTAGCTTTAAAACAAACACCGCTGAACAATGTTAAATGAATCTGAGCTGAGGTATTAGAAGTAAAAAGCCCTTGAAGTGTCTGCTTATTGCAGGTTTTTGCTTCCTTCTCTTTCTCTTACCTGTTATTACAATCTTTAAATCGGCAAGCAAGTGAATGTAACAATTTGGCAAAGGAAAGTGTTGAAAACGTGCCACTCAGTGCAGTAGACCTTCATGTAACGTTACACAAAGTGTCCTCCTCTGGATATTGCATTTTTCTTTTTTTTTGCAACCAAAAGTCTTTAATGGCGACCGTTTTACAATTGACGGTCACCAAAGGGCAACGTTTTGAAAAAGTGAGCTTGGAACGCTGGTAGGCGGAAAATTTTGGGACTCAAGCTGGTGTCCACTTAATAAAGGCTGTCCGCTTAATATGGAGTCTGCTTAATACAGGTTTCACTGTAGCACATATTGAATATCTGTATCTCTGTGTGCAAAGTATAACTCTTCTCATCGATACCCTGTATTACTTTATCTCCCAGTTACTCTGCATGTTGTGATTGGTCAATTTAGCAGGCCATACTCTACTGTATGGCCCACTAAAATTTAACACTGTTTTTGTTGCCAAAATGGTTCATAATTTATCACCAAGTGCTCTTGACTTTTATAGCAAGTAAAAGTTTAAAAATTTCTTTTACCTTAAATTACTTGTGTATTAAAATGTGCTAACAACTTAACAATGATTTCAAACTGACTTGTATTACTTTCGACGTGCTTCAGAAATCTGAAGCCGTTCCGCGTGAATAGAAATCGTTCCCGAACCTATCAGACACACAGTAGAGATATGATAAATATCTTACTAACCTCGTCTTCTCGGTCTGTACTGTAAGTTACAGATCCTTGTTTGTGCCCAAGCATGAAGTACGCATGCCATAAATCAATGGGGGGAAAAACTTGGTCTATAACTTACATTATGGACTTCGAACTCGGTTAGTGAGAGGTATTTATCCAACTATTTGTCACTTAATCTGTTTGCATGCTTAGTCTTTTTTTGTGTGTGCTTTGTGTGCTGTTGCATGTGTTTTTTTCTTATTTTCTCCTCTAGTATCTGGCCCTGATAAATAATTACTGTAATCACTAAGGATGGCTGCCTTGTCTTAATTAGCCCATTAAAGTTATTTCAGATATTCAGGTACTGTACTCATTTTATTTAAAACTTATTTTTGTAACCTTTAATTCTAGGTATGAGTACCAATAAAGTTGTTGTTGTTGTCAGCCCTGTTAGGTGGAAACCATAATGTATGTGAATGACTTTACTTACCTAGAACACTGGCTTCTGCTGTCGCACTGTCTGTATCCAAGAAGTTTGTTGCCTTACAGCTATACTGCCCTTCATCATTCTGTGTAACATTGGCTATCATCAAGGTCCCATTTGAAAATAATTTATAGCGACCTCCATGTTTGATGTCACCTTGATTGTTTCCAGTGACTTTTGACCACTCAAATGTTGGTGGAGGTGCTGCATCTGGTTCACAATCCAATCTGCCTTCACTA